ATTGGAGATTACTGGGTCTCGAATTCCAGGGTTTATTTTAATAAGCATCCGATTAGTGGTACTTTTGGCCGCTAATCTTGATTTTGCCAATTGATTCGTATCAATTTCTTAGCATTCTCTACATGCTAGGAAATATCAAATAGATTGTCTAAATTTGTTGTCATTTGGTTAACTAAAAAGTTTAATAATTATGCTTGTCTAAAACTGTGAGTCATTTTTATTGTGAGGGAGTACTAAATAACTATATCACTCATTGATTTCGCATCCAAGTGCAAAATGGTATTGGATATTTGATAGTTGCTATTGGGGTTTTATGATGGCTGCTTGACTTTGATAAATTGGAAATTTGCAGGAGATCCATGAAGGCTTAGAATTTTCTGCTGATGATGAAGAGGGGTATTCGTTTGGAATTTTTTCCGTGAAATTTTCTAATGATGGTAGAGAACTTGTAGCTGGAAGTAGTGATGATTCGATATATGTTTATGATATTGAAGCAAACAGGCTTTCCCTTCGAATACAAGCACATACGGTAATACCATTGTTAATAATAGTATTGATTCTACATATAGGTTGTTGGTTTAGAGTGCTTATATGAGTCTAGACGTGGATAAAGCAGACAATATCTGGTTTCCGGCTTTGATACCTCCTCTATCAAACATGCTTTAAAACTTCCAGGTGTGGATAAAGCGAACAATATCTGATATGGTTGGCTTGGGATGTTACAATTGGTATCAGAGCCGGATATCAGACTGGTATGGCTCCCTGAGGGGGATGGATTGTGAGATTCCACCCCGGTCGGGGAGGGGAACGAAGGTTGCCTTATCAAGGACTGGATACCTCCTCTTAGCCGCGTTTTAAAACCATGAGTGCAGGTGTGGACAAAGCGTACATTATCTAATATGGTTGGCCTGTGATGTTACAGTTGACGTGAATGTGCCTTCCTTTTTTTTTTTCTTTTTTTACCTAAGGGCCTTTGGCCTAGCAGTATGTGAGTCCTTGGCCTCCTAGGAGGTCAAGGGTTCAAACCTCACCAAAGGTGAGGAGGATGTGTGAGTTTATTTGTTCTATTTGCCGTATATAAATATTATATACTTCAAAAAATGTGCCTTTCTTTTTAACATGTAGTAATATTTCTCATTGATCCATTTTCTTTATCTTCATTTGTGTCTTGTATATTGTATGAGTAGCCGTTTTCTAGATCAGGTTGTTATGGATCTTCACTGGTTTGTTATGACTACATGCTATCAGTTGTACGGCTTATTATGTTATTTCCTTACCTGCGCAGTCAGATGTAAACAGCGTATGCTTTGCCGATGAAGCCAGCCATCTGATATATTCAGGGAGTGATGATAATCTCTGTAAGGTAAATCCTTATAGCAAACTTTAGGGCCTATTGTTAACAGCTTAATGAGCTTAATAAGACTCACAACTTATTCGGTCAGCTATAGATGACTGTTTGGTGGCGACTTAATGATATAGAAAGTGGCTTATTCGGTAAGCTTCTAGGGGGAGCTTTATGCAAAAAGCCAAGTCTGCCCCACCTAATTAAAAACACGCTCCTTCCATCTATGAAAAAACCCTCGCAAATAAAAACCCTCCCAATCTATACAAACAGATTAAAAGTGCACGTAATCAGCTTTATCTATACAAAACTTAATGGAAAACCAACCAACCAAACAGACGACGATTTGTCTTCTTAAATGGATGGAAATGTTAATATCACAATATTCAGGTTTGGGACAGACGCTGTTTCAGATCAAAAGGAAAGCCTGCTGGAATTCTGATGGGACACCTAGAAGGAATTACATTTCTTGACAGCCGTGGGGATGGTCGTTATTTCATTTCAAATGGGAAGGATCAGACAATCAAGCTTTGGGATATCCGAAAAATGTCTTCTAATGCCACTCGGTATGTTAATATCCTTTTTATTTATAAATGAATACATATTGTTATAGATCAATATGGAAAATTATGCAAGAAACTTCATAGCTCTCATTCAAGCATGGCTTGAGGTATCACATTTATCTCAACAACCACTATATATCTTTAGAGGCAACATGATATATATATATATATATATATGTATATATATATATATATATATGTAGTCAGGTTCATATGAGAACCGTAACCAAATAAGAGAATAAGGAAATGGCCGAATTACATGTGATTTTACCCTAGAATCATGTGTGATTTTACACTAGAATCACGTGTAAAATCACATGTGATTCACGCGATGTTGGCTGCGACATTAGGTCGCAGGCCATGTCCCCCCCACACCTTTACGTCGACCGTTAGTGTTCTTTTATATACCTCCGTATATAGGGAAAACTGCAAAAAAATGAAAAACTGAGGAACAACATAATAACCATTTATCTGTACTATATGCACATGCGAATACAAGTAATTTGTTGGATATGCACATGTGGATAGAAACCTGGTGCGTACATGCGCATACCATAACGCTGAATGGTTATGAGAGTGTTCCTCAAATTTTCATTTTTTGGGGGGTTTTCCCTGAACCCCTCTCTCTCTCTCTCCCTCTCTCCATATATATATATATATATATGTGTGTGTGTGTGTGTGTGTATAAAGAAATTTCCTTAAAAATGCTTGTTATATTCTCTCTTTTACAACTTCTCTTTTAACCTCTCATAAACCCTTTATATCTAAGTTCTATAGATTCTAATTTTCTAAATATCTACACACTTATTTTGAAAAATTTCCCAATAAAATCACCGTTATTTCATCAATTTTGCCACTATTAAAAATCACGACAGTTATTTGATGTGACGAGTATAGTCATTTAGACCTAGGCTTCATCTAGATTGTTAAATTTATTCAAATAACTTCTTTTGGATAAATATTTATTCAAATAGTTACAATTCTACATGCTTATAAGTTATAACATATAATGCTTTCTCTTCTTTTTCAGCACTCCGGGGTTCAGGAACTATGAATGGGATTATAGATGGATGGACTACCCACTTCGGGCACGAGATGTGAAGCATCCATGTGACCAATCTGTTGCCACATATAAAGGTCATTCAGTATTGCGTACATTAATCCGCTGCTACTTTTCACCAGAATATGGGTAAGTAGAATAGATACTTGGCACAATTTGATATCTACTCGCAGCATCTCTTTATCAATTTATTTTAAATATCAGCCAGGATCCCTGTCCAACAACCTTTGTGTTATAACTTGGTCATCATGCTATAGGTCAATTGGCTGCACGCCTCTCCACACACACACACACACACATATATATATATATATATATTTATATATAGGGACTAGGGTCATCATGCTATAGGTCAACCGCGGAACACTCTGGTAACCGTTTATTTGGACGATATGCACATGTGCATACAAGTAATTTTAAGCAATTTGTCCGGTATGTACATGTGCATAACATGCACACGTACGTAAAAACCAAGAAACAACTTTAGTTACTTGTATGCACATGTGTATACCGTTCAGATGAATGATTACTATGGTGTTCCTCAGTTTTTCAATTTTCGGGGTTTTCTCCTCAACCTCCCCCCCCCCCCTTCTCTCTCTCTATATATATTGTGTGTGCGTATAGAGACGCTTAATTACTGAAGAACTCCCAAATTTGTAAGATCCGTGAGAATTTCTACCCTAAGGTTTTGGTTCACTTTAATTATTTTTCTATCTAACTATCTAAGTATAGCATTTAATGTATTTATTAACATATATTCGTTTGATATGTATTCGGTTCACAATGTAAAACTTTTTTACATGTATTTTTTGTTTCACAACTACACCAAAAAGGTTCACATTGTGAATCGTGTACATGTGAAACAATCATATTGTGAAACAGGTATATGTTAAATCACTACGTTAAATTCTAGCTATAGATGAAAAAGAATCATATGAAATAGCACATAATGCATTGGTTCTCAGAGATCTCACAATTTAGAGAGTTCTCAAAAGAAGGTCTCCCTATATACAGGGGTCGGTTCAAATAAGAAGGCTAAATATAGTGAGAAAGTGAGAAGGTAAGAAGGGAAAGTCCAGGGAATGTTCATATGTGCATCAGGGACCCAATACCTTCTTTATCAGACACGTTTTAAAAATGTGAGTCTAGGTGTGGATAAAACGGACGATATCTGGTACAATTGGCTAGAGATGTTACAAATGGTATCATAGCGAGGAACCCAACTGGTGTGCTAGCAAGGATCTGGGCTCCCTGAGGAAGGTGGATTATGAGATCCCACATCAGTTGGGGAGGGGAAGGAAGGTTGCCTTATAAAGGACTGAATGCCTCATGACCTCATCTATCAGACACGTTTTAAAACCATGAGTCCAGGTGTAGATAAAACGGACAATATCTTGTACAGTTGGCCAGGAATGTTACAGAAACATTACATCCCAAGTAAATAAAGTAGCTAGAAGTTGCTCTTTGGCTTATCATGTTCACTTTTAAGGGAGATTGGAGGGACTGATTCAACCGAAATTAAGTTCTTTTTCTTTTCTTGTTGCCATCTTTTGCCCACTCTTTTCCTTTGCGTGTGTGTGGATAACAGGTGGAGTTTTGCAATATTGCCAATAAAACATTAACCGATTTCTTGTTTATGATGTTGCAGCACCGGCCAGAAGTACATTTATACCGGATCTCATGATTCTTGTGTTTATGTTTATGATTTGGTATGTACCACGATCCTTAAACTGCAATTTTCTTTCATCATAACGCGAAATTAAATTCTCATCAACGTAAATGCTATATTTGAATTTTCCTCGAGCATTTCGTAGGATATATCAAATTATAGATTCTCAAATAAGAATGCACATACACACACTTAACATGTGTCGAGAGTAGCGACATAGAATAAAAAAGTTGCGTTTGGTACGCGGACGGGATTGAACTAGATGGGCGAGAGTGAGGTAGACGGGTGAAAAGAATTGTGCAGGGTTTTAGGGGTTGAATTTGACATGGTTAGTTTAGTAATTTACCAAGCTTATCCCGTCTCCCTAATTTTTGTTCCACCTATTTTGTCGGGATAAAAATTTGCATTTTTGTCGCACTCAATCTTGTCCTGTGCTAGTCTAAATGTAGCACAAAACGTGTACAATTTAGTAATTTACCAATCTTGTTCTATCTCCTTGGTTTGTGTTCCACTTATTCCGGTGGGACAAAAAATGCCTTTTTTTGCACTCAACTCCTGTCTTGTCTAAGTCTAAAAATGTAGCAGAAAACGTGGATAGTTTAGTTATTTACCATCTTGTTCCATCTCCTTGGTCTGTGTTCCACCTATTTTGGTGGGACAAAAAAATGCATTTTTTTGCACTCGGGTCTTGTCGGGTCTCAGTCTAAATGTGAGCAAAAGACATGGATTTGTTCTCTCTCCGTTTTTTGGTCCCACTCAAATCTTGTCCTGTCCTCTCCCTGTCTACGTGTCACACCAAACATGGTGAACAAACAAATGTTTTGTCTGTCCTGTTCTATCCCAATTTGAGTTGTATCCACCAAGTTAAGCTCATAACCCAGAATCGCTCGTTCTGATTTAATTTTAAACCGTTTCCAGGTGAGTGGAGCGCAAGTTGCAAGGCTCGTGCACCATAAGTCAACCGTACGAGATTGCAGTTGGCACCCTCATTATCCGATGCTCGTTAGTTCTTCATTCGATGGAGATATTGCCAAGTGGGAATTCCCGGGTAACGGAGAGACCCCGATTCCCACGAACAATAGTAGGCCTCGAAGACGGCATTTTGATTGAATACTCTTTGAAATCCGTAAGTTGTTCTTTCGCTTCGGTGAACAATATAATGAACAAATGAATTAAGGAAACGAGGAAATGACTTTTTGTTGTTGTGCAGAAAAAGATTGTATATAAATCATAAATTCTTTTTCCATTGGTATAATTGAATCTTCTTTTATATATGTAAAATTATATGTCCAAAATGATGCTATTATGCACATATCGAGTCTTTTGTCTATTAGTGTTTGGTTATGGAGTTTGTTTTGCACCTGGGGTACAATTCTGAGTACAGGTAAGGTTTGCGTACATTCTACTTTTTGTAGGCCCTACTTAGGAACAGTTTACTGGTAAGCGCTTACTTTACTAGGTGGTCATGGAAAAGATTGAGGGGCCGTTTAACAAACACTTACCTGGGTAAACGCTTACAAAGTCATTTACCTTACCGGATGCATATGGGAAGGACCAAGAACCTAACCCGGTAAGAGCGAAGGCAAGGACCGAGAGTCTTACCTAGTAAGTGAGGGCTACGACTCTTACCAAGGTTAGCTCTTACCGGGTAAATTGTTGCATATGATATCATATTGGTGGACCAAAATCTTATCCGGTAAGTAAGTAAGAGTGCTCAATTTTCCCGGTAAGCACTTACTAAGGTAAACGACCCCCAAGAATCTTACTCGGCAAGAGGCATAACAAGGACAAGGAATCTTACCCGGTGAGGGAGAATGACTATTGCGTGGGTACTTAACAATCCATCTTGATAGCCGAGAATGTTATCTAATAAGATAAGTGGGGGTGGTGCTTTTTACCAGTAAGCACTTACGCGATAAGTTTTTGGTAAATGATCCCTTAATGTGAGATTCACTGGGTTCTTTTGGTTTAGTTTACTGGGCTACAATTTTGGGGGGTTTGACTCGGTGCAATAGTTGGATGATAGGATCAATCGAGATGTTACTGTTTATTAAGCCCTTTTTACTGGTCTATGATCTTGATCGAGATGTTGATCTAATAATCTAACGTAATGACTGTGTAATTAGTGTTGACCCATGTCATATTCTTATCCGGTTAACATTGACACAATTTGTGTTGGTAAATGGCTCTAAATGACGAAATCGTAGCAATGATTGTGGGTTCATGTCTTAATTGTTAGTTTTAACGACCACTCGAACCCCATTAGTTGGTTTTAAGAGGGTTGGAAATGGTTTTCGTTTACACGGTTGCTTCATTATATAACCAAATCAAATGTAGCAAATGTCCCATTTAAATGTAGGGTTTGAGATCATTGTATGTAGACCTTATCTTTATCCTAAGGGGTAAAGAGGTTTTAGTTAAAACTCTGTTCTCGTTTGAATCTTTCTTTTATATATAGTTGGGTTCAAACGACAACAATGTTAACATAAAAGAATATGAGAAATGGTAAATCACATGTGATTTTGCATTGAAGTCATGTGATTGGTGTATCAGTTTACATCATTTTTCAGTTGTTTCATAAAACTTCATATACGGCTCTTGTTTTGAAGTACACGAAGCCTGGTTCGTCAAAGCTCAGTTTGTCAAGCAAAAAAGAGATTTGGTATTTCAAAAGGCTGGTTCAATCTTTAACCGTTCTTTAGCTTGAAAAATCAATTAAAACTGTTTCTAATGGAAAAAAATAGTATTTTTCCAAGTGTAGAACATATACACTAAAAAAATATCTTGACACAACTTCTAATACTAAATTTATTAAAGAATTTTTTTATTAACATGGATATCCAACCTGCTATGCTAGCCAATTAATCTCAGGATGACCACCTGCTTTACGGATAGCCCAGAGTCACCACATTTGAACCTTCGTGGTCACAAGAGGATTTTTATTTTTCCTTGGATTTGAATTTGGGACCTCCAAACACTTTTGACCTTTAAAGCCCAATGTCAAAACCAATCAGACACCACCCTTATAGTTTAAAGAATTAAATTTACTAGAAATTAATTTATAAATTAAATAAACAAATAAATATTGGCTATTGCAAATTTTGGTGCACAAAAATATGTGATATAAACATATAAATGTTACCAAAACAAGAATAAGAAAACAAAGAAAAACAAACATCACACATCATATCCTTCAACTACTCTAAATAAACCCCACATGGTGTCACAAATGGAAACTTTAAATATTTACGATAATAGATTTTAACTTTCCAGATTTTATCGATCGAGAAACAGATATCATGGTTACAAGAGGTAAAAACAAAACCACACCAAATATGCTAAAACATGTCTCATCAAACACATAATTCCAATTTTATACATTACAGAATATGATATTGTTTTCTTTTTCAAAAAAAAAAACACATGTACAAGGTCAAGACTTTTTCAGGCCTAGGCCTCGACTTTTTAAATCCGTTTTCGGTGAACAAAAAAAAGATCCAAATTTTTAGGTCCGCATCAGGCTTTGGGGTTGAAAAAGAACCCAAACGGACTTTTTTAAGGGCATGTTTTTTTGGGTATTTTTCGGAATTTTGGCCTCACTGGGATTTGAAGCCTGGTCCGAATTGGGCTTCAGTCTCAGTAGGCCCATATGCCTTTTCAAGAAAGGGTTTCGGGATTAGGCTTTTTGTGAACCCATATGAATTTTGGGGACATACCCGGCTTGAAAAAGCCGGTTAAACCTAAAAGGTGTGGCTTAAAAAGTCCGGTTGGGCTCTTTTTCAACTTCAAAGCTCAAAAGCCTACAAAAACTCAAACCATTTTTTACTAACCGAGAACGAAATCAAAAGCCGCAGCACAAACTTGAAATAGCTGCGACTTTAATGTCGTATGTCGTACTATAGACACAATCGTAATAAACACAATATTATTTAAAAAAAATGGATAAAACATTCAAAATCCCACATTTCTCTAATAAAGAATTTGACTTGTATATTCCCCATTTTTTGACACAAAAAATGAATTAAATTTAATATAAAAAATCCCAGGAAAAAAAATATATTTAGTAGTTTAATTATATTATTTTATACGAGATTAATCAAAACTATACGAGTAATTCCCTATTTTACCCTTTCCATTCCATGCACTGTGATGTGGGTCGGGTCTTCTGTGTACCCGCTTCAATCGGGCAGGGCGTCTGAACCGGTGGGATCATGCAATTATACTGTAAACACAACGAACTGCTCAGTGGAATCTCTGCCGTTGGATTGATCGGAACCGCCGTCAAAAAGTTATGCTGCAGGTATAACAGCTGTACATTTCCGGCCATCAACCGGTCCATCAACGTCGTGGGAACAGAACCGGTGAACCGGTTGTTATTAAGATAAAGATTCTGTACGGTTGAGAACAATGGAGACACTTGTCCGTACAGCATGTTGTGGCTAAGATCAACGGTTTGGATTGAAACTTCATTGAACGGCTGAACCGGACCGGAAAATAGATTTCGCTCGAGTTGGAGGTTGGTGATTGGGAAGGTGAATACACAGCCGGGGATTGGACCGGTGAACCGGTTCAAGCTCAAATCTAGGTAGTTCAAGTTGTTGAGTTGAGGTAAAAGCTGATCGACAGGACCGGTGAACCGGTTCCATGAGAGAGAAAGGTATTGTAAAGAAGAAGGAAGCGAACCAGGTGGAATAGAACCGGAAAAGTTGTTGTGTTTGAGGTCTAGCCGGGTTAGGGCTTGGGAAGAGAATGAAGGTATTGAACCGGATAAACGGTTGTGACAGAGAACGACGTTAGTTAACGCCGTTAAACTTCCGACGGACCAAGGCAAATTCCCGGTGAGCTGATTGTAACTGAGATCAAGTGTTCGTAGCCGCTGAAGCTCTCCCAAAGTCGCCGGAATTTCGCCGGAGATAAAGTTCCGACTTATTCCTAAAAAACGGAGATTTTTCAACTGCGATAAAGTCGCCGGAAGTGTACCGATAATACGACCGGGAACAATGGTGAATTCGACGAGATTAGTTAATTTCCCGATATCAGGATGAATCCGGCCGGAGAGACCAGAAGCACCGGCGCGTGGATCTCCAAGGTTTAAAGTAACAACTCTATCGCCGTCGCAGAAAACGCCGGCGAAGTTGCAGGGATCGGAGGTGAAATCCCAAGACGAAAAGTAGGTAGAACCAGGCATATCGTCCATTGATTTTCTAATCGATTGTAAAGCCAAAAAATCAACAGGATCCAAAATCGCAAATGAAAATCTAAATTGATAAACAATAATCAACAAATTAATCAAAACCAACACCAATCTGTTCATCATGATTCACAAATCGATCAAAAAACCAGAAACAGAGTACGATTAAAACACGATTGATAGATCGAAGAAGACAAAAAAGGAGGTGAATCAAAAGGAATATACAATCGAGAAGATGATGCTTGAAAGCTTTAATGGCGATTTAGAGATTTCTAGAGAGAGAGAGAGAGAGAGAGCGATGATGGAAATGAGGAAGTGCAACTAACCTTCTGCAAATGAAGCTGATAGTATGTGTTCTCGAAATTGGAAATAACTAATTAATTAACTTAATAATTTAATTATATATTTTTTGTATTGTTGTGTGTAGGTTTGGGAACCACCAACGGTTGTCCGAGCCTACGTGGCAGGTTCGGGATGGCAAGTCAGATGGTGTTTGGGTGGTTTCTTTTGCCACGTGAGCTATCACATGTATTTATGATTAAACCCATCCCTATTCCATTTTATTTTTCCAAAATAAATAGGTATTAAATAATAATTTTAATCTTAACTATAAAAGGTAGATTTTTTTATCTTATATTAAAAAGTAAAATATAAAAATTAGACGTATAATTTTTGAACATATATACTGTTTAGCAGTTGCTGAATGATTTGGCGTAAAATAATTAAGTTGTCAGAATGATTAAGTGACTCTTATGATACAGTACACAATGAAATATAATTGTCAAGTAATTGTTTACAATGAAATTAGAGCGTAAAACGGTTTACGAATACCTTGGATACAAAATCATTCAGACGGTTTTAAAATCATTAAGAGGCAAAAAAAATTGTCAAACAAGATTCATCTATTAACGATTCAGATGTTGTCTCTTAGTGCATCTCAATAAATTTGCATTTTAGATTTTGCATGTTAAAGCGATGGTAAAAATCTCTAAATTTGAAAAATAATCTTTGAAACTCAATATTTAAGAGAGATTAATATACTTAATTCTTTTTTTCAGATATCAGATACTAAAATTAAATATTTAACATATAAAAGATAATATTTTATTAAATGTATAGAATATTTTTATGATATAATTGTCGTGAAATATTTAAAATTGAATAGTTTTTGGAGTTGATTTATCTGTTTTTTTTATTACTTTTTAACTTTTATTACTGATTTTAAAAAATTATAAAGTATATATTGAATATGATATAATTTAAGAAAAACAGTTTATTGATATATAAATACTTCACACATTTTTTTAAAGAAAATATTCAATTTTTTTAATTTATTTTTTTGATTTATAAGTAATATAATTTTTAGTTTATATCTACATGTTTATCAAATGAATTACATTAATTAAATTATGTTATATTTAACGATAATTTTCTTTTAAGTAGGGTAAATTGTATGAAAAAATAATGTATTTAACTTGATTTATATTTCGGGTAACGTACATTCAAAACTTTTATTTTGATAACTAAGATGTAAAGCTTTAAACATTTAAGTACCCGAATAACCAGTTGAAAACTAATTTTAGACTAAAAAAAATTTCATATCACTAACCATGTTAGCAAATAATATTGAGTTGGGTATCACATCACTCGTCACATTAGCATGATAACCGGTTAATGCTTCAACCAATTACCTGGGCACTTAAATGTTTAAAACTTTACATCTTAGGTACCAAAATGGAGGTTCTAAGAATACGTAACCCAAAATAGTAATCAAGTTAAAGTACGTTATTTTTTCTTACAATTTATTCTTTTAAGTATTAGAAATACGAGTACTAAATACATGCATGGATAGAAGAGAATGTTGTAAATTTCAAAGCGTACTAATTAGGGTTTGTGAGAAATCAAGTTATGGTAAGAAGTGTAACTTTTGGATCAATCATAATTGAATGTTAACATTAATGAAATACATCTCAGATATATCAAATTAATTCATTTCTAAAATGCACTTTATAAATGAGCATGAGATTAAAAATAATCAAATATTCAGATTTTGTTTACAATTTTTAATATTACTCCACTTTCCACATTATCGTTGGCTGTGTAAATTAATGGCATCTTTTACTCCAATTAATTTAATCAAATGAAATATTGACCCTTTTTGAGCTAAACACTCATTTGACCCTTTTTGAGCTAAACTCCCTTTTTGACCCTTTAACGATTAGGTTAGTCAACTAAACTAACACGTGGGCCAATGGGGTCCTTGAATCTCTTATTTTCAATTTTTTACTTTCAATCTCACATTCTTTTGAGTTAAAAATGGGAAATTAGCTAAAAAGCATTTTTCTCATTTAAATTGGCTTTCTAATCATTTCTTTTTCGGATTGATCTAAATGTCACCATATCCACAATATTCAATTAACGTAATATTACGGACCTGGATATTATGAAAGTAATGATATTTGGGTCAATTCAAGAGAGAAATGGTTATAAGGTCAATTTGAATTAAAGAAATGCACATTTAACTTAAGGACTCTGAAATTATGGGTATTTTCTTAATATCTTTAATATTTTGAACCAAAATTTCTAGAAAATGCTATTTGCATTAATTTTGACAGTTTATTTATTTTAAAGATTCTAATATTAATTATGTTATTAAAATATTCAGTGTATTTAATATTGAACAAATTTTTTATAAAGTAATAAATTTTAAATAATATTTTAAGATAATTAATACAAATCCCTTCCCAGATTTCTTTACATATGAGGAATTTTATACTTCATTTATTTTGGATAAAGATTGTGGGATTGTTACGACCAATGTTTATATAAAAATAGGAAATTGATTAAAATATTTTATCTTTTTAAATAAATTTATTTTTTAATTAGTTTTGATATCGAATTTCTATTGTAGTCGAGATTTATAAAATTGCATTAAGCATTTACATAAATCCAATTATCATTTTAAAAAAGATATTTTTACGTAAATGTGTAAGGTATTTACATAAACTCTAATTAAAATAAAATTTTGATTGAGAAATGTCTAGAAAGTGAATGTGGTTGACCCAAAAAAATCTTCTAACATCTTTATTTATCGATAGAAATTTAAGGGACATTTAGTTTGACGCTGTAACAACTCGGCCCACATGAATAGAAAATGAGATTTGTGAACTCTTTTACAAGTCTCAAGTTATGAGTTACCAATAAGTTCCACTACAGTGTTTTAAGTTGAATCCAAAGTTATTGGGTTATTCTGTATTTGCCAACTAAACGGAGACCAAGAGTTCATTAAGTCCAGCCCTACATCGGGTGCGACTTAGAATTTAGTAATGGACATAATAGCTTGTTCGTTAAGAGAAAACATGAAGAAAAAGAAAAACTCCAAACCATACATATGGTATTATATAAGGTATCATACATTCGAATTGATTTGGTTTAATCGTATATAATCAGACCATAAAAAATAGCCATAGTTGTATTTGATGGTCATCATCATACCATCAATTCATCAAACACAGACATGTTGCAACTAAAGATGTACAAGGTCCAGACTTTTTCGGGCCAAGCCAAGGCCTTGAAGCCCGTTTTCAGTGAGCAAAGAAAAAGTTCGGGCTTTTTGGGCCCACACAAAGCCAGACTTGGGGTTGAAAAGGGAGCTTTTCAACCGGGCTTTTTTGGGAATTTTTGGGATTTTTCGGGATTAACCACACTTTTCCATGCTTTTCCAGGTTGGGGCTAGGCCCGGGCACGCCCCCAAAATTTCAGTCTGATCCGGCTTTGAGGCCTGCTCCAGACCGGGCTTTGGGCTTGGGTTTTTCTGTGCAATTCCTAGTTTCAACTATGAGAATCCTACCAATAACATCATTCTTAGCACCAAAGGGTCTTTGGCCTAGCGGTATCGTAGCCCTTAGCCTTCTAGGAGGTCAGGGGTTCAAACCTCACCGTAGGTAAGGAGGGTGCGTGAGTTTATTTGTTGCATTTGCCGTATATAAATATTATATACTTTAAAAAAAAACATCATTCTTAGCAACTAGGCAAAGCTCTTGATTTCAATTTCTTTTGCTTACCTTTTTGAATAAAGAAAGTATACACAGATTTATTTTGTACATTTTGTAGAGAACTTTCACACTGATCACATCTAAACAAGCAAACTAGATAGAAAGTTCAGTAAATGGAGTGAACCACATAGAACCCATTCCCCTCTTTACCCAATTTTAGACCCACAATAGAACATAAAATTGTCATTTTATTCACAAAATATACATTAAAGAGAGAAGATGAGAGATGATCACATACAATGATAGAAGAGGCTTCGGATATAGATTGATCAACACCATGCCACGCCACTTCCATCGAAGAATTCAGATCTGGCACCTAATCAGCCTGTTTCATAATGTTGTTCAGTTTAAGATATGTGAAACCCAAATCAGATTACTCTCCGGAAAAATCGTTGAGAAAGAGAATGAGGGTTTTTACATATATTGAAAAGACAGTGTCTAAGTTTAGCTTATGTGAGACGCTAACATGTCTCCTCCAATAGAGGCTAGACGGGGTAAAGATGTACCCGAGTGTTGAGTCACATGCAAAGATGTCCCAGATGGTAGACAATGGATCTGATAGGATGTGAGATATATGAAACCCCATTAGGTTATTCTCCAAAGCGTCCTGGAGAATGAGAATGAGGGACCCAACATATATTGAGGATAATTTGTCCAAGTCTAGCCAATACGGGACTCTGACATGTCCCCTTAAGTAGAGGCTAGACGGGCACAAATTGTAGAAATGTGTCGATAACGGGCTACAAGGATGAGTGGGCTAGACGAATATAGGTTATCCTCAAGTGTGTGGTAGACACCTCTAATACCATGTGAGATACGTCGGACCCGACCAGATTACTCTCCAAAAAAGCCCTTTAAGGAGAGGAGGAACCCGACATATATTGAAGAGAAAGTGTTCAAGTCCAGCTGATATGGGACTCTTTTAACACTAATAATGTTAGATAGAATGACAGAACACGAAATAAGTCTATACTCTCTCCATCCAAAAATAAATGTTCACAAAGAAAAAGAAACGCAGTTTTAGAAATATGAATTCATTATAAATCTTAATTAACTAAAGAGTAAATTGTGTTTTTTGTCCCTGTGAATTTGTTGAAAAATGTGGATTTCGTCCCTGTGGTTTTAAAATTGCAGTTTCCATCCCTATGGTTTGGACATCATTGCTATTTTCGTCCTTATGATTTAAACTTTATTGTTGTTTCCATCTCTATGGTTTACAATTTTATTGCTATTTTATTCCCTCATATTTAAAGGAAAGAATTAGCATCATGGACGAAAATAGCAATGATTTGCAAAACATAGGGACAGAAACCGCAATTTCAAAACCACAGAAACAAAATTCACAACTTTTAACAAACTATAGGGACGAAAAATGTTATTTACTCTTAACTAAATCATAATTGTTCCCATAACAATAGAGGGAGTAATGAATTTCACCATTTCATGATTAAGGGTATAATTGGAAAGTTGACCTTTTGAAAGGGGACACTTATTTCGGGACAAACTAAAATAGAAATATGAACATTTATTTTGGACCTTTTTTTAGTTTGGAAAGTAATGGGCTTGGACGAAAAGTCAAAATGCGTATTTACCTTCTTCAAAAAGGTCAAACATCCCACCATGCAGTTCATCTTCCTCATCATTCTCTGAAATTTCCCTCCCACAATGACTCCCATCATGTTCATCGTCATCAAGTGCAGCACCAGTTAGCTTGCCATGACCAACTTGTTCCACCACCTTACAATAACCCTCCTGGAAACACCCATCAAAATCTACTGGGTTCTTAAGACCTGGAGACACACATGGCAGTTTCTTGATATCAAAATGGTCAGTGGTTAACAATGGGGTGCTCGCTATTCTACTACCAATGTGGTCGTCCATTTGAGAAGTGGCGGTGTTGTAAAGCTCGGAAGAGACTTCTTTAGGGTTTCGATTTACTAAGGACAGTCTCGTTTCAAGATATAGTTGATTCGGAATACGACCGATGGGTATACTAGACTTCTCACAATTCACTGGATCAAGATCAAACAAATTCTCGATCCTCCGGGATGATCCTGAAAATGAAGTTTCAAAAAGAATTAAATTATTAGATGTTCAGGTGAAACAAAAATGCAGCAAAACAAGCATGTAAGGATGCATTTGGTACGAAGAACAGTACAAAAACTTGTTGTCCCACATTTGGAGTGATATTAGACAGGTAAAAGACTAGACCTGAGTGGGACAAAGTTGCAATTTTTTCTGTCCCACCAAAATAGGTGGAACAAAAATCTAGAAGGTTAGATAAGATTAGTAAAATTACTAAACTACCCTTGTCAAATTAAAACTCTAAAACCTTTAACACTTCTTTCACCTGCCTACCTCACTCTCGCTCATCCAGTGCGGTCCCGTCCTAAACGGGACAGGCTGGACAGCACAAAAATTTGTCTCATGTTTGGCGCAGCATTAGACTTTGGACAAGACAAGACCTAAGTGTCCCACCAAAATAGGTAGAACAAAAATCTGGTAGATGGGACAAGATTGGTAAATTACTAAACTACCCATATCAAAGTAAAACCCTAAAACTTTCCACACTTCTTTCACCCATCTACCTCACTCTCGCCCATCAGGTCCTGTCTGCATACCAAATACACCCTTAGGAACCAAGTTGGAAAAAAGAAGTGGAACAAAAACATGACAGGCCTGCCCCAACTGAAATTCTGGAAAAACAACACACGTTTTGAGTGATGCAACTTTTATCTAACAAAAGAACCTATGTCAAGCAACACTAGATTATTTTACATGCAAATTTGGTTTATATTATGTAAGGCTTGATGGCAAGTTCAGAATGCAAGTCAACAACCATTGATCATGCAATTCATATCGGTTATACCTCCATCCGAGCTTTCTGTGGAGCTAACCGAAGCTGGCTTTGAAAGACAGATGACAGATTCATCACTGGCCTTCTCTCTACATTGACCAGACTCCAAAGACAATGAACTGTTATTTTTTCTGACAGAATAGGCTCTGCAGAAAAAGAAGCGCACAAGAAAAGTCAGATCAGGAATGAGACCAAGCAACTGAGGAAGAATCATCTTGCACTGTCCATGCACATATTTATTGGCTTATGAACCTGGAGGGAGGTTCAAACGAGAACAGGTTCAAAATAAGAAAACATGAGAACGACCAAATCACATGCGATTTTGAAACACGGTCAAAGCAAGGTGTGCAGACAATTTGGCCCACGACTTAAGTCGCGGCGAAAGTCGTGCAGAATCAAATGTGATTTTGCACGCGGTTGCAGTGTAAAATCACATGTGATTTGGCTGTTATGTGTTTTCTTATTTGGTCACCGTTCTCGTTTGAACCCAACCCTATGAACCTATTACTCACAGACCACAAATATAGTCAAGATTCATAAATGGCAACATTTATCAAAATTCTTATTTCCCTGTTAGATGTCACTTGAGATTTGCAAGATGCTCTCTCCAAAGTAAATCAAGCAGACTGCCTTCTACCCTAAAGAGCAGAGCAACTGTTTCCGTGAAGACCCCCAACTTGTGCAAGAGTGTGAGCAAACATGTAGAATGAACAAGGACTACCACAAAGTGAACATAGAGCGAGATAAATAAGAAAAAAGATAATGAGTAGCTACATTGAAAACATACACAAGGTAAGGTAAGGTAAGGTGAACCACACTCATTGCAAGATACTCTCTCCCTTCCACTAAAATGGCAACGGTTAACTTCACATATGGTTGAGGGAAATTATTTGGCTATTCGTCAAATACAAGTCAATATCATGAAGAAGTATGTACAATTTCTTGATCATGCCTTGATGTTGGGACAATCTCTCAGCTAAAACCAAGAATAGATGAAATCCCACAAACTACCAATTGAAGGTATTAATGAATGCAAGAAGCATACCTCCATAAGAACCAGTAATTTAAAGCGGGTCCTTTTGTTTAAATGATGTTCTGTCAAGTTTTTTTAAATCCATGACCTTCTGACAGGTTTGAGGGTGCCTTAACAGAGGAATGCCACTTCCATGCAAAAAAATGCCTAGAAACTTGTCAGATGGCCATGGGTTTTATAAAGCACTTGTAAGGAGGTCATTTAACTAAATAAACTACTTTAAGCACCCATGTAAGACACTATTTGTCTATGGTCTCCAACAGTTATGAACAGAAAACCAATTATAGACGGAAATTCAGCAAGATGATCAGAAGTTTCAAAATTGAGGCATCACAGATAGAACTTATAAAGTTCAAGTAAATGGTTATCACCTGTCATCCCAGCCTGACTTGATGTTATTGAAATGGTGAAAAACAGGCAACAAATCCTTTCTTCTTATTTCAACTTCGTGGCACGGAATGTTCTCAATTTGAGCCTCTCCACCTGCAAATCCTTCCCCATTCACAGATCGCATCACATAAAAATGTACCTGGGGAAATAAAATACGAATCAATACCAAATAGAGCCATGAACTAAAAGATTCTTTTTCTTTTTGGTAATTGTGGGTGTCCAGGCCAGCTTGCGTGCACCTCGACTAATCACATGGGGCCCTGAAGATGATAGCCAGGAAAAACCTCGGTGGCCCTAAGAAGATTGAAACTAAAAGATTTTGAACCTATGCTAAGATGTATACCTTGGCATTTTGCCATACTGGTAATCTCCCAGAGTTTATTTGGACTTCTGCATTCGACAGAAACCAATGGGCTCTATCATTTCGCTTTACTGAATCACTTTTCACCAGCTTTTGACCTCCCATGCAGATGTTAACCCTGCTGTTATATGTTGGCATTGCAGATTCTCGGCAGTTAATGCTAGTCACTGAAATGCTTTCTTCCCTTTCCGGAGAATCTGATCTTCGGCAAACTTGCCACCATTGACGAGATTCAAATGTCACTCCTAATTCCTCAACTTGGCTTGGTTGATGTGAAACTGACTGAGTTCTTGAACCATGTTGAATCCCCATTGATGGCATAAGTTCGTATTGAATTACATATCCAGATGGAGTATAAACTAACAGATATTCCAAAGAATTAACCTTTGTGGAAACATCCTGATAACGGTAAGTCATAGAGTTGTGGAAAACAGAAGCAACAGCACCAGAGGGCAAGTGCGTCTTCCCCACTGCAGAAGAAGCAGCATTGCTAACTGAGTTAAGAAATCCAGAACTATTATTTTTTAACCTACCCACTACAGAAAGGGTAAGAGGAGATGGAGGTGGAAAAGGTTGCTCATCTATGACGAATGATGGAGTAGACCACCATGGCAGAGATTGAACTGGATTAATTGCCTGACTCTGGGATCCATGAGTCCGACAGTCAGCATCGCCACCAAAAGGGGATAGAACAAAAACATGACAAGTATGTTTGGATGAAACAATAGAAATCCACCGGCAGCTCTGACTAAAGCTTATGTCTTCGATAACCTGTCGAACAAATAAATGAAAGAAAGTAGGAAGTTAGAAAATAAAAACCAGTAAGGAGTGTAGGCTTTTGGTACACAGACAGGACTAGATGGGCAAGAGTCAGGTGGGTGAAATAATTGTGCAAGGTTTTAGGGTTTTAATTTGACAAGTGTCGTTTAGTAATTTAGCAATCTCGTCCCATCTTCCTGATTATTGTTCCACCTACTTTGATGAGACAAAAATAATGCATTTTTGTCCCATTCGGTCCTGTCCTGTCCAAGTCTCAATGTCGCACCAAACATGGGATAAGTTTTTGTTTTATTCCGTCCGGTTCCGGGTACCAAATGCATTAAAAAAAATAGAGAAATAGATGTATACTAACAGCTGTTGTTATGCCACGGTGCAGCTTGTAAAGAAGCACATGAGAGGAACTCCAATCATGGATTTGATTGCTAGAACCACCACTGCGGGTACAAGGCATAATTCGGAAGATATTAACATTATTACCATGTATCGAGGCTGTAACCAGAAGTGTCCCGCTTGGATCAAAACATAATGCACACAGCGGACTGGAATGAGCTCTAAACTGTGATATAACAGCTTCTGAAACAACATCCTTCACAATGACCTGCACCAAAATAAAAATCAGGGGATCTCATCCATAAATTTATCCATCCATTGATGAAGTAGATTTGCACAATAATTTTTTGGGCAGGTAACAACAATCATATCATCCTTGAGCTCTATATGGATTGATTCATATAATCTGGTAGCCCCATTAATATTCATATTGTAATGATTTATCATCTGGATAGGAAATGACACAAGGGAAATAGCTAATCCTCCTGACATGATTGTAATGGCCTTTCATAGCTTCAAACTCCCACCCCCACCCTGGGGGACAGAAAAATAAAACAAAAGGCAAGCATACACACAAAGGGAATAACGCTGTCTATGCCTGTTAGACGATAAAACGAAATTGGTAACAAATAGTCCTACGTTTATCACTCTCCAGTACTTCCTAAAGAGATTCCCATTTTACCCTTAATGAAGTTAGAAGATCCTCATGTGACTTAACATTCACAAGCTTTTTATTTTTTTGAGACATCCCATGTGGGACCCACCACCTCTACCACTTTCATCATTTTCTTCCCGAAAAACCGAAATAAAACCCTAGAAATGAAATCCATGCTTCCATTTATTAGGAACCCCAGAAAGAGAACATCAAGATTTCATAGTACCGAAAAATCTTTGACTTGCGAAACAAAATTACCCATGTGCAAAACACATGACTCATTAAGAGCAACAAGATCCCTTTGCTCTTCCCTAGCAGGAAAAAGTTTGAAGTTGAAGGACTTAGGCCCAAGTCAATCTATCATTCACTAGTCGACCGTTTTGCACTTCCTAAAATTTCACAGGCCTATATCTAATTTAACCTGAAATTCATAGGCCCAAATAGTGCTATTCCCAACCAACAGAGGTAAAGATAAACTAATTGCATGACTACAGATCTAGTTTCTCACTTGACTCTATTATCTTGTATTTTGTTTTGTTTACTTCTACCTCATGTAGATAAAAACCAACTTGGAAAAATATCACCAGTCTTCATAAATATAATAACGACAGCAAGTACATGAGAAAACAAAGTCAGAAGAACTGACCATTCCTGCATTATTTACTTCTGAAGAAGCATTGCTAACTTTCCAGCCTGCATTTGATGGTGTCGAAGAAATAGGATGGTCTTGGAGCATCTCTGGATAGTATTTAGAGAAGGTTTTGTATCCCTTGTCACCGAGGGTGATTATTCCAGCAGCCAACTGCTTGCTTGATTCCATCGCATAACGAGCCACCAAAGAACCATTGCTGGGTGAGGTGGATGGGCTAATACCAGGAGTAAGGTTCTTTGGGCTTAAGCGGCCTGAATTTGATACAAGCAGTTTGTTTGAAGCATAAGCTAACCACCTTGGACCCAAAGCCAATGGACCATACCCAAAGTTAACTCCAACCATTCCTTGTCCTCCAAATCGAGGAACTGGAAAGGTGGGAACTGTGAATTTATTCTCAAGTGTGACGGCATCTATGCAGTGCATCTATCACAAATCAGAGATATGTAAGTTAGCCATCAACTATCAGCTCGTGGAAATAAAAGGAAGACGAGAGTGGTAAAGATCCACAAGGAGATTCTATCACTGGTTAGCATACAATTTTTTAACTTGCATCATATTTATATACACATACATATGCATTACAAATGTGATGTATAATAAGAAATAAGTGCAATTTGCTCTTGATATTTGTAAAGATGAGAACAGAACACATGATAGCATCCTGAAATGTGGTATAACTGTTAAAAAAGCTTCCACATGAGTTGGCATCTTACCTCCTTTTCAAGACCCACAGCTACTATCAGAGGACTACATCTGACCATAAAAACAGTCGACCTGAACCTGAGAACCTTCACGTAACAGTTGGACTGAAAGGAATAAAACCGCACAGCAGTAGGAGAATCCACAGAAGCTCCTGACTGAGCCACATTTGAACCATCCCTGCCAGGTGCAACCAAATAGCTTCGATTTTGACCTAGAGCGGACATGGTGGCTTCATCACCTGCAACGACTACTAGTAATGGATGTAATGATAGGAACTTCTCATTGCCATCACACTTTGCAGGAATATGCAGCAACTGTAAGAAAGTGACTGGGCCATCACGCTTAGAAACAAGCTCGCTAAAATCAGACGCGTCCTCAACATCGATCACTTGAAAACCATTCTGATAACCAAGCAATAGGACATGTCTGAAGGAAGCAGGACCAATTTCTAATCTGTCGAAGCCAGCCCATAATACCTGGTTACCATTAAAATCTAAGATAGGGGTCCTTCATCCGTGTAATAATGTAAAATTACAAACATAGGGCACATTTTTATGTTACTCACGAATGAGTAGGCCCTATAAATACCATGAAACCAATGCATTGCAATTATTTCAGATTTCAGAAAGTTCGGCCTCGAATTACTGAAAGGTCTCTGGCTGACTCGAAGATCGTAGAACAACATGGAAGACGTAGGTCTTTTCTAGTACAGGGGAGCACTCTTCAAGTGTCCATATATTATGGCAGAACTGGCATCCATTAAGACTGCTTTTGGAATCCATGAAGAATAATTTGACATGCTTAAAGCTTGCTAAAATGTTACAGGGCACAATGCACTGAGCTTTTGGTCACAACTCACAAGCATAGCACTGTTGACTTTCGTGAACCAGGATAACAGAAACTCTGTGATTGCCTCAAGCCAGTACACATACAAATGACTTAAGATAACATGGGAGCTTTTTAACATTCTTTATCATGGAATTGTTGTAAACAACCCATTTTCTGGAAGTAATCAATGGTTGTATATAGCAACTTAATCTTTTTTTTTTCCTACAAGATACTTCTCAAGGGGTGAGAGTGGTCTCTCACAACTTACCCTCTATAGATTTATGATAATTATGACTTATTGTGGCCATGATGCCTTCTTTACCAACGATCAAGTTGCATTGTTTTCTCCCTGACACAACTTACAAAAGAAGGTCAAAGCAAAAACAAACATAAATTAGCACCCATGGCATAAGCTTATTTATCTTTGTATTATACATTTATGGATTATATTACTTTTAGGCTTATATTATCCGGGCTCCATAAGATACTAAATCATTCCGTTCCCCTAGTATGCACGACTAACATAATATGAACTTCTAAGTTCTCAAATAAGCTCGTGACTGGTAATTAACAAACATAACCGCTAAGAGCTGTTTCAATTAATCATATCCAGCATACTTTATTCAATCGTACAACCAAAAATACTCAGCGAACAGTTAATTAACGTATAAAAAAAGTTGTTTAAACTGATTAGGAAACAGATAAGCTCAGTTAAAACAAATAAAAACCTGATCTCTCTGATCATCTCCAGATGCAGCAATCGAAGCTGCGACGGACGCACCGGCGGAACGGACGACGGTGCTAGCATTAGTAGACACAGTTTTAATACAAGAAGATATAATCTTCAAAGAGCTAGGCAACAATCCAGTGTTCTTTCCCTTAACTTTCTTCATCCTTCACCTCCAACAACCACCGACTCAGCAGTGAAAAATAGAAAACGTCCGTCACCGTCCGTCACCGCCACCTCCACCGCCGTAGCTGACGAATCTTCCGTATCACCTATGATCATCCGAGAACGTAATCAAAATCAAAATGATTTTTGAAGCGTAGAAGTAATCGTAAGTGTGTTCTTGGTTTAGGTTTGACTTGAAGATTTGATTGAAAAATGTGTGTGTGTGTGTGTGTGTGTGTGTTTTCCCAAATTTTCTGCTCCTCAAAAGCCTCCGACTCTTGAATTGATTTCTCCTAAAGTAAGATTACTTTCAATTTTAAATCAGGTGAATCAAAATTAGAATTAAAATTAAAATATATAGACAATTTTATTTTCCAAATTAATTAAATTAATAATATTTTTTTTATTAACTTGGATATTCATCTCGTTATATGAGCTGACTAATCTCAAGACGATCATCTGCTTTGTGGATAATCTGAAGGTATCGTATTTAAACCTCTGTGGCCACAAGAAATTTTTATTCATACTTGGACTTTAACTTGGGACTTTTAGACATTTTTTTACCTTTGAAACTCAAACCAATCAGATACCACCCTTGTGGTTGATATATTTTATTCTTAAGGTTAATTAAAAATTTCCAACAGATTCTTCAAAAAAATTCAAAATAAAAAATGAAATTTTATAATCAGTAGAACAAAAATACATTCAACTATAACAAATTCTGAATTTAAAGATTCACTGTCTCTACTGCTTTCTTCATTTTAAAGAAAGATTGTGAAAAAATTGTCAAAGAAAAAAACATACCCAAAATATCAATTTTCTCAATTTTAAAAAATCTGTTAAAGAATCTCTTGCAGATACTTTAAAATGAAGAAAATTAGACTTTGGGAATTTTGAGCATGTGTTTTGTTTCAACATTTTCTCCAAAACGAAGAACGTAACATAAAGAGTGAGCATCTCTAACATATTTTTTAAAAGGCAAATTGCATGAAAATTAATGTATTTTAACTTGATTCCTATTTTGGGTAACGTATTTTCAAAACTTCTATTTTTGCGACCTATGATGTGAAGTTTTTAAACATTCAAGTACCTAGGTAATTAGTTGAAGCATTAACCAGTTACCATGTTGATATGACGAGTGATGTGGTATCCGGTTAATGCTTCAGCAAATAATATTGAGTTGGATACCACATCACTCGCCACATAAGCATGGTAACTGGTTAGTGCTTCAGCGGGTTACCCGTGTACTTAAATGTTTAAAATTTTACATCTTAAGTACCAAAATACAAGTTTTAAAAGTACGTTACCTAAAATAAGAATCAAGTTACAGTATGTTGTTTTTTCATGCAATTTGTCATTTTTCAATAGAAACTTTTTGAATTTTTGCTATAACAAATTCTTAAAAACATTTACAATACGGAGAAAGTACGAAAATATTCAAGTTTAAAGAATACTTCAAAAAATATTATCCAGGAAAAAGAAATGATTAACTCAGCCTACCAATGAGAATCCTTGAAGTAAAATGTATAATAGAGAAAAATAATATTTTGTGAAAGATATTGAATATTTTAATAATACTAGAAGAGTACTCGTACAATGCAGCGAGACAAGTCTCGATTTTAGTATTCTATTTTATTATTTGTCTATGTCGATATTATAATACGATTTTATGTGTTTTAAAAAAAACAATAATGATTTTATTTTTGAATAAAATATAAATTTGAAGATATCATAAAAATTTGAAAAAAAAAATATATCAATGTTTATATCAAATCAACTATTTAAAAGTTCTCATTTTTATGTAATTATTTTAATTTATTTATTTATATTATAATTTAATTTAAGTTTAATAACGAAATAATTTATTTTTGATTTAATAATATAACATTTTATAAATATAATAATTAAGTATTTTGTTAGAACTTAATGATTATCTTAATTATATGTTAGATTTTTTATATTTAAAATGAGTTGTTTATCATGTATTTAATTATGTTTATCTGCAGTTAGTTATACGAATTCAGATATGGAGTTTTAATAAGTTATATTTATGCACAATCTACTTGTAATCTTGAGTTTTAAATAATATGCATTAATAAACAGTATTTTACGCATAAAAAGTGGTTTTTAAGAGTTTTTCTCAAATGCTTTATAATATAGTATATATAATTTAAAAATGTAAAAAATGTTGGAGGTTAATGTAAATTTGTAAATTTTCATTAAAAATTTAACTTTTAATTCTTCATTTTGAAAAATCTGTTGGAGATGCTATACAAATCTCCAAATTTATAGAACTCCTATATTCCCACAAATAAAAAAAGTTAAAAATTAATTTAAAAAAAAAGTTAAAAATTATGTTTTTAAAGAAAGAAAATAATATTTTATTAGGTTAAATAAATATTTTAATAATATAATCGATGTAATTTTTAACATAAAAAATATGTTAGAGTTGAATGTATTTTTCTTTTAGAGATTTTGAAGTTTTATTATCCATTTTAGAGAAATTTTGAAAAGTCTGTTGAAGATGTTTTAATATTACTAAAATGGTACTCGCGCAATACAGTGAGATATATCTCAATTCTAATGTTTCATTTTATTTCTTCTATGTAGATGTTATAATACAATTTTTATGTGGTTTTGAGAAAGAGATAATATTTTTATTTTTTAATAAAATATAAATTTGAATATATCATAAAATTTCGAAGATAAATATATCAATATTAGTATCAAATTAACTATTCAAAAGTTTTTATTTTTTGTGTAATTTATTTAATTCAATTTTTTATTATAATTTAATTTAGATTTAACAACGAAGTAATTTATTCTTGATTTAATAATATAACTTTTTTGTAAGAATAATAATTACGTATCATGTTAGAACTCAATGATTATCCTAATTATATCTTAGATTTTTTATATTTAAGTTGAAGTATTTATCTTGTATTTGATTATGTTTATCTACAGCTAGTTACACGAATTTAAACATGAAGCTTTAATAAGTTGTACTTACGCATAATTTACTTGTAATCTTAAATTTTAAGTAATATGCATTAATAAATAGTACTTCATGCATAAAAAATAGTTTTAGAAGTTTTTGTCAAATATTTTATTATATAGATATAGATTAGGGAATTTATAACGAATTATCCTAAATAGAGAACAAAAAATTCAAAATCTTTAAAAAATTATATTTGACTCGAATAAATTCTCTATTTTGAATAATATAATATCAATAATATTATTAAAATAT